TGGAGGTGGGGGAGGAGGTGGAGGCGGTGGTGGTGGTGGCGGGGGTGGCGGAGCGGGAGGACCTCCTGGTTGCATCTTTTGTCAAGGAGCTCTCAGCAGGTTTGGGATGCTATCATGGTCTCAGTCACACTTACAGGCAGGATTAAAGCCAATAAAGAATTTGCAGTGAAACAAAAGCTGTTCTGAATGACTGCGCTGACTTGTCCAAAATGTTGTCAGTTAGGATGATGCATTCAGACTGAAAGAGGGTGGGGACAGAGTTACCTTTTATGCTATGACTGTATGCAATAGTGTTTAGCAGTGGATAAATCATTCACTTTCTCCACAGTAGGCCTACCCTAAAACGAATGACTAGTGCTGTAAAGGGTTGTGAAAACTTATGACAAAAATACAAATAATTTACAATACACTTTGAATTATAATACGGAAGTTACTCCAGATGTATTTCAATACTCACAAATTGTTATGGAATTACTGGGAACTTTACGAGGTACTATAAAGAAAAAACTATAGAGCATGTTAAATCCAATCCACTTGAGTTAGTTACTCAAAGCTAAGGCAATAACATTAGGTTATGTGAATCCCAAAAAAATATATAGTTTTAAATACTAAAGACCAAATTGTAGCTTGTAAAGGCCTAGTATTATTCTGCAGCCTTAAAATATTAAATATCTTTCTATCTATCTATCTATCTATCTATCTATCTATCTATCTAGAAATTACTACTTTTGTTTGTTAATATACTAATATTGTTGTCAGGTACACATCAAGAAGTAAAAACACAACTTACCTTTGTTCCTGATTCATCTGCTGCCCTATTATCTTTGTTTCCTTGTGCTCTGTCCTCACCCCTTCGTCGGCGTGTTCACCATCAGTAGAGACTGACAACAGCCTGGATAGCGCAAGAAGAGAGTGTCGAAACTACCTGCGCGCAAACGACACGCCCAGGTAACTCATGAATGTTCACGTCAGTCCACCTTCCCAGGAAGTCTGGAGTTGTTTTGGCTCGTTGGCTGGAGTTTGTGTCCGCGCTGTGTTTTCTGCCCAGCTGTCATGAACTTATGTCAGCAATCCGCTGGGTTTATAGACTCCTCCAGGGTGATTAACGTCCTCACTGATAGGGACAGAGAATTGATTTCTTAAAGGTGTTTGTAGAATGCTCGGCTTTTACCATTAGCCCGAATAAGCCAAATTATAAGAATACAGCAGTTATCATTTTTAGAGCTGCTGTGATGGATAGCCTCATTCTTATTTAATTTATCAGCAAAAATGAATACATTTCGGGTGAAAAAATTAGTAACAAGCTAAATAGGCTCTATGGTTAAACATTAAGCCATTTGACCAGTTCACACAATGTCATTTGTTTGAGTGCGGACTGGTGGTCAGACTGGCCTGGTCGATCAGCAGCAAGCACTTCAACTCTGTCCCAAATATGATAACACCCTAAATACATTTGTATGCAAATAATTTGGTTCTCTACTATCGAATAGTGAGGGAAACTCACAGCTTGAACTGGACTTCCTGCTGAGGTTTTTTATTATTATATTTTTTATATATATTTATTTTTATTTTATTCAGCTTTGGCTGTATAGATAAATTCAGAGAAGTCTGAAGGGAGTGACAATAAGGAATGCATTCACTTCTTAAGATAGTCAGACCAAATGTATGACCACTCAGCTGTGTATCATTTTAAGATAAGTTTAAAATTCAGACACTATACTGAGTTACAGTTTAACAACAGAGGAGATTAGTGATGTGTTTACAGGATCAATTCTGTGTGATAATCTGTCAATCAGCTTTTGATCTGAGAGCATTCAAAGCCCTATTCAGATAAAATTGGGTTTATTGGGAGGGGAACTAGAAAAGGTAATCATCATGAAAGCATGTGATTTTAATGTTGTTGTATTGCCATATTGGCTGCACGCACCTAAAAACACATCCAGCTTGTTTAAGCTACTGTGAAAATAACAACAGCCCAAACTAGTCTAGCTTTATTCAACATTTCTCAAGTCCACTTAGGCTAAGTCAACATTGGTAGTGTGGCAGAATAGATAAGAAAAGTACTCCTTTCATCTGGTTCTTGAATAGGTACTAAAATGTGTATTGTAATCTAGAAAATCCGTGGTTTCACATGTATCCAGTATTCCCATTCACTGTATTGTCATGTACATAAGTAATCAGAATGAGAATCAGAAATACTTTAATAATCCCCGTGGGGAAATTACTGGTGCCGTGCATATTAAGTATACAGTGCCTAAAACTAAATGGTAAGAGCTGAGGTAGAGTAAATGAATACAGTAGGCCACAGGAAGTGATGTGTATTTGTCCAACTCATCACGTCTACGGTTGACAAATTGACTGACGCACACTTTATGACAAGGTCTAACTGTATGGGCAACTGTAAACTAAGTTTGCAAAGTCCTGTTATTAATGCTGGAGTAAGCATTAAAGTTAAGTAAACTGAGCTGTAATTTACTTAGTCTTATCTCCAAACTGAGTTGACTTCATTTCACTATGAATTCACAGTATTAGTGGGTAGTGACACTAATCATCTCATGCAAAAAAGAAGTGTCCCCAACAGAGGCAAAAAGAAAAAAATGCTGCCAAAATCACATAAAAATACTGTTCAACGATCAATGTGCTTTAATGCACCTTGCTACAGTAACATAAAAAAATGATAAGTCATGAAAAACAAGTTAGAGATATATCAGATTGTATTATCATGTACACAATTACTGGAGCCATACATGTTACATATATTGTGAGTTTTCTGTACATAAATGTGAGAGCATCCCATATCCAACTGATCTGTGTCAACCTGTCAGTTAAGTGAAACAAAATATCCAGCAGACTTTATTGGAAATGCAGAACAAGACAAGGACAATCAGCTGACTAGAAATGTACATAACGTACAATGTTATGTTACAAACAGATTGGTAAATAAATAACACACAATAATTAAAATGTACTCATACATTCTGTCCTAGAAGAGACATTGAAATTCGTATTGTAACCTAGAATGCATGTGGTATCATATTCTTAAGACTTTAAGAAGGCTGTTCAGTTGCACACTGGCGCCTCATATTGAAACATAATTAACCAAATAACCACCAAGCCATGTATTGCATTTTGGTTTCATGATTCATGATAGTTGAGATGTTTGTATTTATCATCGAAGCATTGAATATATGGATTGATGCTGAGTTATGAGTTTTACACCGGTTTGTGAGGCTTATTTCCATACGTAAACTGAAGTAAACAAGACAGATACTTGTATTGTAGCTGTGCTGGATTATAAGGACAAACTGAAAGTAACTATAATTTGGGAGATCAAACTAATTGCGGACTGTATATTAGGTTAGAGAAAATCACTATATGCACTATATATGTTTTCCCTTCTATGCATGTAAACTGTAAACTGACCATTCAGGCAGGTATTCCACAAAGCAATATTAGAAACATAGCTGGATAACTTTGAAAATGATGCTATATCCTGATTTTAATCTAAAACAAAATTTAAAGAATATATTTCAGTCATGCATACTCAAGAAAAATCAATACAATTGCAGAGTATATTTCATAACACTTTTGACATTATCCCACTAACTTGCTAATCTGATTTGTGGAATTCCTTCAATGTGATATACTAATATTAAAGACAACGCTTAAGACAAACATTAAAAAAACAACAAAAATAATGCATGTGCAAAACTGCCAAGGGGTATCTCCACAATAGAAGATTATACTGCACATAAATAAGAAGTGATATCCATGTAAATGATTGTGCTACCTAAAGAATACGAAAGTAACAAAAGATCATTTTGTGACTTAACGAAAATTCTAAATACAGTTGAAATTGTTGTTCCATCTATAAGCAATACTGAAAAACATTACAAAAGATATCATGTTTTCTTTTATCACTGGAAGCTACTGCTCCTAAATTATAATCCTTTACGCATTTAATTCTTGTCCATCTAACCACAACGTCAAGTTCTTCACTGACCAGCGTGTCACTGTACATCTCAAACAGCTGAACCCTGAGTCCTCTTTACTGCTCCTCCAGCCAGGACGGCTTGTCTGATCCTGGGGGCTTTAACTTCACATTGAACTGTATAAGAGTTTGTTCCAACTGCTGCTGGTTGCCAGCAAAGTAAGCTGAGATAGCATTATGGAAGAGAAGCAGCTGCTTGTGCATTACCTTCACCTAGAAGAAAAAAGAAAAGGGACATTTTTCCATTACAAACACAGTTTCAAGTGTTTACAGGAAACACAGCGCATGGACATCTATTAAGATGACATTTACTAGCTGCTCAGATTAGTTTCTGAGGAATCAACTGAAAAGCAACTTGCATATTACATTCCTCTAAGATGTATTCCCAAGGGTCAAATACACTTTTTAAGATACTTTAGACTGATTTTAATCTTTCATCATTTGAAAAACTGCCAACATAAAACAGAATGTTTTAAACAGTGTGGGTCACAGTTCTGGTTATAATTTGACAAAATTGAGGCACTTTCTCTTTAGTGTTATTACTGTAATTATCTACAACAAGAATATGTTTGTGTCTGTGCACAAAGAAGTCTGCCTGCTTCCTTTAGTTTGACCTAGTCTGTCTTACTTAACACTGTAAACTAGGCACCACACAAATCAGTGTGATGTGAGAAAGCAATGACAGATTGGAATGCATCACAATGTCCATTTATTCCAAAAATGATTTCCCAATTTTTTCCTACTTTCAGAAAGCCGTCTAAAAGCAATTTTTAGAAAGTGTTTTTTAAGACGTAACTTAACACATAGCTTACAAGCAGTGTTTCACTGTCCTTGCTGGTTGACAGTTTTTTTACCTCTGACCACAACCAGCATCACTGATGCCTGTGGTTGGGTGTGGTCAAAAGTGTGTAACCACACCCAACAGTGAAGCCATGGAGTCCGGGAGTACATCTATACATCACTGCAGCAGGGTGAGAAGTTAAACTACTGGAAGTCATCCGAAACAAAGTTTTATGAAGTGTTAACTTGCTTTTTTATTGTGCCGACATTTCAAAGAAAAATGAAAACCACAAACCTTGTTTTCCTCCAGGAATTTGAGTTTGATGGTGACATCACTGCGCAGCCTTTCATATTTGTCTCGGTGGATCTGGTAGTCATGCTGAGACATCTCAATGCGGACCATGGCAGCTGCATCCCTAGGGCCCAAACTCAACTCCTCCAGATCAGAACGATAGGCATCAAACTCAAGTCTGCGCGCAAAAACAATCCAGGCTGTCATAGGCTCTCATTTTCTAGGTGATTACCCTACAGCAGTTCAGAGGTTTGGAGAATTTCTATCTCTCAACTCCTAAAGGGGATGTCAGAGTTTGTTACCTTGCGTTTTCATACAGCTTAATGGTCAACAGGGTATCCTCCATTGTTTTGTTGACCAAGGTGTTGACACTGGACACAAAGAAGCTGATGGCACTGAGCAGAGCCTCACCATTCTTACACAACAGCTTTTGTGTTTCTGCATTATACCCAAACTCGTCCTGCAGAGAAACAACAACGTTTTAACTGCTAACTTAATTTTCATGTCACGTCACATGGGGAGCTTTGGTAATACTGTACCTGCAACTCTGGGGACTTCTGGCTGAGGTCAGTGAAGGTGTCTCCTAGAGCCTGTTGTGTCTGCACCATGCTTTGAAAATGACTGGTGAGTGCAGTGGCCAATCTTAGGATGTTCTCATACTTGCTCTTGGTATCTCTTAACACGTCAATCTGAGCCTCCAGTTCCAGGTCTACTGTTCGTGAACCTCGCCCAAATCTCTCTGAAAACATCTGCTTTGTACACTGCATTGTGGATAAAAACAAGGATTACATTAAACCCAACAAAAATACATACATGTAGCCTTTTTTATATAAACATAATAGAAGAACTACTAAAGATTGCTATCACATTCACAGTTTTGGTATTACTATTACATACACAACTGTATGGGGGTAATGCACAGGATGGATAGTACAGACATATCCATTTTATCAGCTTTAGGAAACTGAAAACAAAGTATCTACACACAGTGCACAATACCTTGTATGTGTTTATGCCCCATTTCTTTACACTGTCCAATTTCTCCACTGCCACACCACGAGAAATTTCTTCAGTGGAATTACTCGTGTTAAGGTTCGACGACCCTAACGCACAAAAAAACAACAACAATGTAGACTCTAATGCATCTTATCCTATCAAAGTTTACAAGACAGACGTTTACAGAAATTGCACGGATCATGGCAATGAGTGAGGACAGTGTGGACATGGTGGATATGGTGATGATCCTGGTGATACCTGGATGATGCTCTGTGCATTGGGCAAGTCGACTGGCTGCAGATTGGCTGTTAGGCAGGCTAACACCCCTCGATTTCATGCGAATGTCTGAAATGAGCATGGTGATGACAAAGAGTGAAGATGAGAGAAAGGAATGGAGTGAAATATGTGTCAAAAAAGCTTGGTGGTGAAATATGCAGATAAACAGCAGAGTATGTAAACTGAAAGAAAAGAAGAAAAATGTTAGGCTCTGTGGTGGAGGATACATAATAAGTTGGAGTTAAAAGGGATTTGAAATAATCCTCCATGCAGGTTTCTCATGCAGAATAAAAGGATTTATGAAAAAGATGAAAATGGACTGAAAGGTAATTACAAAGCAATGCCAGTCATCCAAAGTGCATTTTACAGTACAAAAGAGGACATTCTTATTAGACGACAACATTTCAAGTGACAGCCCTATAATGTTATGTTAGTGCATCTCTAATTTTGAAAGCTGCCAGAACATCTCTTGCTGCTGAAGCTGTGAGTTGAAGAGGTACAAGCAAGGTTGCATACAACTCCCTTGGTCAAGCAACACCAAAACCCTTTTATATCGGGCCAAAACAGACCAACATATAAAGGTTAACTTAGAAAACAAGAAAGGGTCGTCAGAATACACAGCCACCTGGTCCTGGTGCAGGGGCTCGTCTTCTGTCCAGATACTCAGGGTTGAAGCGTATTGCAGGCCCTATGAGATATGGATGTTTGTAATATGAACCAGGAGCCCAGAGGTCAGTAGCTCTCTAGTGACACATCAGAATACTAGGAGGAAAAGCTCTCAGTATGGCTTCTTAATGGGGCATTAAGTATTGACTTCTTTCAGTGATTTAAGGATTGCAACAACATTGACAGATCTCTGGCACAGTGCATGGCAGCCATTGGGGTGATGGTGAGGGGTCGTCGGTTGAGCTGTGTGAGCTGTGTGAAGCCAGAACCTGGTAAAGTAATTGGAGGGTAATTTGTAGTGACTGAAAACCTTATTAAACTAATGTACAGTTATTAACGTCCTTTTAAGATATGGAACTCTTATTTAACGCACCTTTAAAATCATGCCATCTTTGGAGAGCAAAAGTGTGTACTGTAAAGAATAAACAGCAGAATAAAAACCTGTAAAGCACAACATTCAGGTTTGCTACCAGTACCTTTGATGCTGCTGGTAGGAATGATGCCCCCTGCAGGTCCTCCATAACCTCCTGAGACAATGCTGGTTTCATTCAGGTTTGGTCCAGACACCATCACCTGCTGCAAATCCTGATTTATAAAATATAAATATGGTTTAGAAGGCAAGAAACAAAATTACATTTTTCCTCTACAGTACAATAAAAAAACTGAGCACCGTTGATAGTTTTAACTTCATTTTTTAAATTATCAACAAGCATCTTTCATCCCAAACTGTTACTATTATTATTATTATGATAAACAGGCATACAATTTGCTGTATTAAAACAATTTAATATGAAACAAGGATAGTGTAAACAAAGGTGTACTGTTTTTTGTTCAAACGTCAAGAAACCATGTAGTTTTCTCATCTTTTTTCAACTGAAACTGAATGATCCCATCTAGTCAACGTGCACACAGAGACTAAACGAACAAGTTGCTTATGTGCTGTTTTATCATTCAATATGGTGACCATTATTACTTTCCTCGCACAGACAGACATATTATTAATGTAGGACAACTGATAGTGCAGCTTTCTTTCTCAGCCCTGTTAGGCTGTATCAGAATGAGAATTGTGACGAGAACTGACTGCTTGTCGTGCAAAAGCTCATATGACTATTAAGCATCCTACCCCAATTATTGTCAGAATGGCTCCCTCTCCCTGCCCTTAACACATCATTCCCAATGCCAGATATTGATGTTGATAGTGGTATATAGCTAATGTACAGAGCTGCAGGCCTGTGCATGGTTAGGTAACACTTGGCCTAACCAGCCTTAGTCCTAGACTGTGCTGTCAGAAAAAAAGGACAGAGAACCACAAACTGAGCATACAATGCCAATACAGATTTAATAGGAGACCATTGTCAGTGAGAAAATGTGACAAACTGACCTGCTCCAGGCTGTCATCCTCTGGCAGAGTCCCTGTGTCCCCATTGCTGTTAATGGGGATCTCCATGGTAGCAGCCTTACTCATGATACTGTCTGCCATAATGCAATCTCTGCAAGACAGCACCAAACACTGACACATGAAGATGGGATCATGTTTGCAGTTTTACAAAATGATAATCCTACAGCCTTCTAATACACATCAACACAACACATCTTGCTTACATTGATGCTAACGTGGCTCGCTATATCAGCGGTGCTGATGTGGCTGGCTAGTGGGCTACTACTTGACAGCTAACTTAGCTTCCTCACCACTGTAGCAACCTGATATTGGAGCCAGGTCCAGTCGTCCGAAAGAGAGAAACAAGCCCTTGTTTGCACAGACAGCAGACTTGAAATGTCAAATACTTTCAACGGTAAAGCACCGTTGTCTTTAATTACAAATCCATGCTTATTTTGTCCTGCAATGTTCACGTTATCTGCCTGCTTCCATGTAATTCAGCCAGAAAATCCCAGCATCCAGCAAGCTAACAGCTTTAGTAGTATCACTTCGAAATAAAAGTTTGTGTGATTTTTATTCTAGTCTAAGTCACATGTCTGGGCTTTAAAAGCAAAGCACTTTGAGTAAAAACTATACTTTTTGGTATTTACTGTGTGTTATTTATACAACTGAGTGGCTGGAAGCGTATGCGGTAAATGTGTGCTCTTATTTTGAAGGATAATACCTTTAACGTAGCATCATCGTCAACACTCCTCTCCTCCCCCGCTCCATCTTCCACGTCGTGCAGTGCTGACGTAGCTTTATCCTAAAACTGCAGTACTATCCTGCTCCTGAAGATGTCCCTAACAGCCCACTGACTAGTAAAAAAAGAAACCCTGACATGTGAGACATACAGTAGGCCTAACTCTTCATCACTAACTCCATTAAGGCGCTGAGTCCTCAAATGTTGTGAGTATTAATCATTAGAGGGAAGGCTGTTGCGTCCTGCCTGTTACATTGATTGCAATATCTCTTGAAATCAAACTGTATAAATACAGTCGTTTGTTTTGCGATGTGAAAGGCCTCGAGATAGACCTCACCCTAGTAAACTGACCACACTTCCAATTATTTGCCTCATTTGTTTCAATCAGGGATGCAAGGGAAGTGCACATGGTCTCCAAATGTAGAAGTTTTTCTGTAATTACTCCAGCTCTGAAGAGAGAAGCAGCCCCTCACACCCCCACACAATGTATTCTCACAGTAAAATGGTTCATTTTCCATTGATGTGCTGGTTTCCTGCAAGTGACATGATTTCCAAACCCCTAATTCTCATGTTGAGAAAACCTTTTCCCCTAATTCTTGCTTCTTCTTCATCATCGTCCTCCCTCTTTTTCAGGCTTCTGCACATGACTGAATTTGACTACTACATCCCTAAGATCAAAGACCACAAAATGTCAAATGATGAAGCTCTGTTATTCATGTTTTTCCCCTTAATCAACACATCAACATGTCAAAAGCTGTTTGGCTCTCATGATATGTGTTCTGCTTTTGATCCTCCTGCCAAAATGAATAGATTTTTCAATGTTGAACAACATTTGTGCATCCAAAACTTTCTGAAACTGACAATTCAACAGGCACACTTAACGTCACGACTGGCCAGGTGTGAGGAGGTAAATTTTAATTTCTCTCTTAAACTGTACTCCTATTTCTTTTTTGTATGTGTAAATGAATGAATACCTTTGAGGAGAGACTGTTCCAAAAGTATGCACCGTTATTCCCGTTTGAACTTTTGAATCACACCTCCATGGTGGCTGACCATTTGGAATAGCTATAGACACTTTTGCTTTATGACCTTGGAAGACAATTTCAAACATACTCAGGCTTTTAAGTACGGTCACATTCGCCTTCCATTTAAGGGAACTGCCCTGCACGCAGCCACAAAAAAAGATGTGATATATGCTGATAATGAATATATATTACAGTTACAGTTGGTAACTCTCTATTCTCTAACACAGTACATCAGTGTTTCTATTGGCCAGCCTTACATCTGCATTGTCAAAGTTGAACAAAGGTGAACTCTGACCTGCAGAGTCAGCTAAAGATCACACATTTAGTGGCGATTGGTGATATGTTTTATAGAAGGCTAGAGTAAATGTGTCTCCACATTTCCATATTGCAAGTTTGTCTTAATACCTTTTGTTGGGAACTTAAGGAAAAACAGTGATTAGAAAGTATCAACACTTCACTTGTGGAGCAAAAAAACAATACAGTTATTGTCAATAGACTGACCCGATACAGGTATATGTTTTGGGTCATAACATACAAGACTTGTCAATCAATGACTATATGTATGTATATTTTTATTAAAAATGTAAAGGTAAGGAGGCTGTTGTCTCAAAGCAAAGTATTACAGTGGTTGGCCAGCTACTTCAGTTCCAGTTTGGTGAGTGAATAATTGAAAGGGTATGTTTTGACTTACCATTTTAAGAGAGTGTCTGACTCAACATCCTTTAGCTCCATTACCTTTGACCTTCACATTATTCATGGGCCACAAACAGCCTGCTGTTGCTGTGGCTTGAATTTTAAAACCAGTTGTTTTGTCTTTTGGAGTGGAGGTAAAGGAAATTATGTGCAGCCGTTATTTACAACCACTGTAGTTGCAATTAGGTACTTAAGACTTATTAAAGCAGAGTTTAATCACAAATTCACTTTTCAGCATGCTGACGTGATAAACATCACAGATGTAGCTTCATAACAGTCAACAGTTTTACATTTTAACAAGGTCAGCGGTGGGAGGTTTATAGTTGTCAACCTCTCTCTACTACTAGAAATTTTAAGACACCAAATTCTCACGCAGGAGAATGTAAATTTAGTGTCGCCTATAAATTTAGAACAAGACCAAATTAAATTTTAAAAGGTCTCAGGCGGGGTCTCCTCCTCGACTGTACTGCATATCACAAAGCCAGCATATGCATGTTAGGGGAGCGTGAGACCTAAACCACAGTGTACCCCTCCCCCTGTCATTTTAGAGAATAGTTCATCTTGTTTTTAATGATCATTAAGCACGCTTCCAGATGTTGGGAGGGAAATGTATCCTCACACAGTCCCCTGTGCTCTGCAGCAGCAAACAAGAGTATTGTAGTGAGACAGAGGAATCGAGAGAGACATGGCAAAGCAGTGCTGCCTGCATCCTTACTCCATGGGAGTTACAAACAGCGCTGATTCTGTACACTATAGATCATATGGAAGTAATTTTTATAGTGTCTTTAATGTGCCATTTCAAACAGTATGTCAACCTTTTCCCCAGTTGGTGGTTCAATCAATGCTCTCACAGAGAAAAAGCAATTCATCATCATAATGGATCCTTGGATGCTCTGAATATGACTTGTAGAATGTCTGAAAAGACAACACACAATCAAGAACAATGCATATTTGTATGCTTCCCCTTTATTGAGTATTGCTCTAAGAGTAAGAGTAATTATAAATGTATGCTTTGAAAATGTTTTGATTAGAAAGAAATGTATAATGACAAGAAGCATTATTTTGGAGTGACAGATGAGTTTTTAAATGAATCTCTGCAGACACAAAGACTTCTTGTTCCATTTTTTATTTTTTGGTATCCTCTTCATTATGAAAGCTTTCATTTAAGAATAAACAGAGCTGTCAAGAGTATTTCTATTATTTAAATGAAATCCCAGACAACTGTGGAAAGTAATATCCTTTCACATGAAAACAAAAACAAAAATAAACATCTTGATATTGTTTAGTAAGTGTGACATATGAAACATTTTAAGTTGTTTTTTATTATCAAAATAGATTTTATCTTCTGTATAAACTACATCTGAGGAAGTGAGCACAATGACGTGTATGGCGTGAGAGCAATGGCCCCCACAATATACAGCCTTTGCTACTGCTCTGATGTTTCCAATTAAATTCACCTGCATAATCAGAGGGACAACCAGTCAGAGGCCGCAAATAAACTGAGGGGGCAATTTAAGAATCGTAAATCCCACAAGGGCTTGTTGGCATTTTCACTGAAGTGTTAAAGCAGTTGTTAATTTTGTTTTCATGAACGCTACCTTTGGTTGGCACACAGAGGCAGCGGTCAGGATATGCACGAAAGGGCAGTTGTTTAGTTTCTCTACACTGTTTACTTACTTTGTCATGCAATTTTCTGTTTTGCAGGTCTCCAGTTTTGTAATCTCATTCATTTTAGTTTCCTGCATTTTTGCAAACCATGAATTAGGACTCCTATCTGAAGGGCTTTGAATTCCATTTTAAATATATAGTATGATTTATACTCACACACTCACAACAACTTTTTAAAGAAGCTGCTATAATGAGAAGTTATAGTATTTCTAACAAATCAATGTGAATGAAATCTTGATTTTGAGTCACAATGAAGCACTTCTTGACAAAACATACCTTGGCAGATGGCAGGATTTTTCAATTATGGCTTTTTTTGAACTGCAAATGGCCAACAAATGCAGAGCAATGTCCCTGATTACTGCTACCTTTCATGACAACAAGATACCCTATTTATTGATTTCCAGAGACGTACCAACCATTTGAAACTTTCATAGTTACAAAACAGCTGATGAGCCAGAAGACTTGGGGTTTACCAGATTCTTGCTCCTCAGTTTAGATTTGTTCAGGCTGCTGCATACACTGTGCTCCTGTAATAGTCCAACTTCTCCAAGTGAAGACAGTGGTGGCTGCTGAGAAAAAAAACTCTATGGAAATACAAGTGTGGGTTTCTTAAAAACATTAAACTACTGTGCAAAAAAGGAAAAAATAATTATGGGAAATCTGTACAAAGCAGGGTTACTTGTGAACATATAACCACATGTTTTATTGACTAAAGGGTAGTTAGGAGAACTTCTTATTTTGACAGATTGTATTACCCTTATTTGAATATGGTCTTTCTTGGAAAATACTACAATATCTGAAACCTTAACCTTGACAGTAACAGATGAACAATGCACTAATTGAGCATCCCAGCAATTTCTCCAATTGACTATATCCATTTTATGGTTCCAGTAGTAACAGTATAAACAAAGCAGCCCACACTATATGTCCTATTCTCCAGGAACTTCCTCTTTCTCCTCCTGTGGGATCCCAAGGTACTAACGTGTCAGCTGGAAGACATATTCTCTCCAACATTTCCTAGGTCTTCAGCAGGTCCGCTTCAAATCAGCCATGCCCGGTACATAAAATGGAGGCCATTTCAGATGACTACTTATAACTGCATTGTAAAGTCTGACAGCACATGGTCAAGGAATGGAGATTGGATTAATCAGGACTTTGATTTGTGGAGCACCTTTTACAGCTTCACCATAAGCAAATCAAAAGCCTCCTCACCTACTATTGCACAGCGAGCAACCCACCTCTGTGGCTGGCAAATTAAGCCAACACGGAAGTAATAAAAACTGCAGTTTTGCCACCTGAGGCTAGCTACAGAAGTGATCAGTCTCCCTAAGGCCCCATATTAAAATGTTCAACTTTACAGCAAAAATAAACATGGTTATAGCCTGGTACAAAA